AACAGGGAAGCGTAAAGTGCACATTTTTTCTAATTCACACAGGATCAAAGTATATATACAGGCTCACAAATATTCACTCACTCAAATCTTTTCATAAGTGGTACTGAAGGTTGTTGATGGCTACCAAAAGCATCTGGTTTAGATGCTTTTGCTAAGAGACATTTAAACAAATCATTAGTGTGGGTGTACATATATATGTTTGAGGCTGTGTGGATTAGAGTAAATCTAAAATAAATTCAAACTTGTGCACCTAATTTTGTTTTTTTTTTAAGTCATTAAAGATGTATGGTGTACAATAATTCCACCTTGGAAAAAGAACAGTTCAAAGAAATCACAAATTGCCATGATATTCCTGCCCACGATGAGTGTATGTAAACTTCTGACCAAAACTGTGGATAAGTAACAGCGACAATGCTTGATTAAGTCATGGCAATGGGACGGTAGAAATAAAAGGTTTGTGAGCTTTGCTAGATTGTTTTGGCTTAATTTTAAAAGACCCAATCATACATAGTCATCCCTTTACAAAAAGCATCAGCATGTTTGGACTAAAATATCCAATGCTGGAGTTTTCCAACTAAAAGTGTGTCAGAAGCTTTTTTTTAAAACGGTCTCTTTAAGCTGTGTGGATGCAGACAGATTAGGAAAAATTACATGTTTTAAAAACTAAAGCATAGTTTTTAGTATGGATGTACCCTAACACTAAAATGAAAGGATACACATCAATCAAATTATGTGTCACATAATGTAATCTTGAGAAACAGCAATCTTATATAATCCCTTGATATAGTTTTAAATAGGGTAAGACAAGGAATACTGAGAGTGGAAATATGGTGACCATTTAACATTCATTCATGTAATTTTAGGAGTACAACTATAAGTTAACTCATGTTTTACTAACCTAATAATATGTTAGTTGAGTCAGACTTGAGTAAGACTATGAGTAAAAACGCATTTAGGCTGCAAATTCTTTATCTTTATTCAGTTTATTTATATGACAAGAAATTAATGAGAAATCCAAAAGGGTATAGGTTAAAGGTAAGACTTTTGGAACACCTAAAATCAGCAAAAAAAAAAGGAACATTTTAAAAAGAATCGCAACTAAACAAGAAAAAGAAATAAATCGCTCATGTCAAATCCAGCTACAGATAAACTCTCAGTACTTAAAGCATCTTCACACTAAACTGAATAATCCTCATCATACCTCGTCATTTGTGTTTGTTATCCCTCATTTTAAACAGCTTCTGGATATTAAGTGGTAATTGTGGATTGCATGCTTTGTACATCATTTAAACTATGTTATAGTCTAATCTAATATAATCTTTGAATTTCTGTGTATTTAATTGAATAAATAATGGATTTACTGACTAGTCATAGAGTTTGTTATCATTCATATGGCTTTTTTAGTAGTAAAAAGACTGCCCGCCTTGTGTTTCCCCACATTCCTACACAGTACGTCATATATAGAGCAATAAGTGAATATATATATATTTTTTTTAACATAAAAAGTCTTTAAGTGTAAGGGAGCAGCCAGACAGCCGAGAGCTTTTTTTGTCTTGTGAATGCTGCTTGCTGAGGGTTTGTAAGGGTGGGGTAGCATGTCAGCCCACATCTGGAAGATGATGCTCTTACAGTAAGTGTTGCTATACGTTAGCCTGCAATGAGTCAACACTGGGCTGTGAAGCATCAGGCAGAGTTGTGCTTGCCCTTTCCCCACTAAGAGCTAACCAACCTTTGGTAGAGGATCCCAAATGCACCTCTGTTAATCCGAGCTGCAGGTTGTAGAGGTTATGATCTCCAGAAAAAACGGGTTAGGATGATATTAAGGGAGAAAAACCCTGTTAGACTGCGAGGAGTCTTTTCCTTAGACCTGAGAGATTGTTAACCCGCTACTTTAGAAAGAAAGTTTTCATTTGGCATTTAGAAAGGGCATTATCTGCACCCAAGACAAAAGGTGACACTAGTCTATGGTGACCCCTTCTTCATTTCTTCTGCCCCTTCTTTTAGCTGTGGTTGCTGATGAGGGAAAACACCAAACAGTGCTCCTCTTTTCTGAGATTTTTTAAGCGCCTCCACCGCCACCGAGCAGCTAGCTGCTGCACCAAGTCTCGTAAATGAAGCTAACTCAACTTTGTATTAGAAATGACAGACTGACTGGAAAAGCAAGCTAATGCTATCAAACAGACTTTTACGAATGTAGACGTGACTTATAAATACAGTATTACATCTTCTCCGGCTAACCGTCAAGTTACAGTTGGCTAATATTTCCTCCTGCCATTACTTTGACAGTGCTGTGACAGCCGACGTATGTCCTGACCCCGGGCAACATCACCGTACAAAACAGCGACCGCCGCTTAAATACGTTCATATTTCTGCTTTGATTTTCGCCGTTGCACGTTTCAATTCAAATTCCACAGTGAAAATTTTCAGTAAAAGCAAATCTCACTCACCAGTGAACTCCGATCCGCAGGTTACAAGGTGTTAAAAAAAAAGGCTGTTTTCCGGCTGAGTCACCCCACCCTCAAACGCCCATTCTCGTAAGACGGTGAAGTGCGAGCGGAGAGCTGAATGGACAGCGTCTCATCGCTCTTTCTGCTGATTGGTGCGTCGCCGACCTCTGTCATGATTTTGACCAATCGAGTTGTGATGCGTTGATCGTTCACAACAATCAGACAGCTTTCTGTCCTGTCGCCTCGTGTCACTTCACTTTTACTCCAGGAAAATGCAAATCGTCCATCTGAAGATGCACGCAGCTGAACACCACCGTTTATAAAATAAATATGTAAAATAATACGAATGAAAGATCTCAAAATGAACAACACCCACACAGGATAAATACTGGCTGTATTTATCTGTACACATTACCACACCTACTGCACTCTATGTACATACATTTCGGTGTTTGTTTGTTTTGTTTTACTGTGTATAATGACCATTTGTATATAACATAGTGTTTTGGCATCTATGTACACTATTCTTGTTATTTATTTTTCGATTTTTATTTTTCCAATATAACTCTAATTCATTTTTCTTCCTGACCCTTGTAATAAATTAATGTTCCCAGTGTGGGATTAATAAAGTCTATGTTTATGTCTAAATCCTGGAAAACTTGTGTATATAGTCAGGCATACTAAATGATACAATGATGGGTTTTTTTCTTTTCTTTTTTTTGCACTAAAAAATGGTATTGCTGCTGATATGAGACAGTGGATGCATTTGGCTGATTAATTAATTTCCAAATAATAACTACAGGGGTTTAATCAAGCAAAATTTCCATATATTGTCTGTTTTCAGCACTTGAAATGTGAAGACTGGCTGAATTATTTAAACTGAGTATCTGCATATTCTGAGCTGTTGTTCAAAATTTAAATTATATTATTGAAAAAAGTTGTAAGTTAGACATTTGAAGCCATTTTTTTATGCCCATTATTTTTAAATTCCATATATGGAATGATTGATAAATATAATCATCTTGTGACAATATCATCTTGTAATCATATTGTCATAATGAAAATAATGTTATATAAATACTGCATCATATTATTGTCTCTAAATCTAGTATTCATATATATAATTCATAGATTAAGTTAAATATACAGTTAGATTTTTTTCTCTTGTACACACTAGTGTATTGAAAAACCCAGAATGTGATTAAAGTGTAGACTTTCAGCTTTAATTCGAGGTACTTAACAAACATTTTGCATTTACTGTTTATGCTTTTTCAGTGGCTCATAAATAATTGGGCAACTGACTAGCAAGCAGTTTCATGACCAGGTGGGGCCTTATGTATATCTGTGTGAAAAATTCAAATAAACCTTTCACACAGTTGGCAAAAACTGTAGCAATGGCTAAATTTGATACATGTCTAAAAATAAGGAATGCACTGACTGACTGTCAATAACACCAAAATGTCCCCCAAAAAACACAAAGACAACCAAAAGGGATGATGGCAGAATTATTTCCATGAAAAACAGCTTCACAACACCTAAACAAGACAAGAACGCACTCTGTGGAGGCAGGTGAATTGTCCACGACCACAATGAATGGATGCATTCAAGAATGGAAATACAAATGATTTACAGCAATGTGCAAACTACTGGTTACACTCACTTATCATAGAACATCCAAAAGAGCCTAAAGCTGAAAATCAGTTCATTATCTTGAGCATACCACATCATATATCAAATATGGTGGAGGAAGTGATACGGTATGGGCATGTATAGCTGCCAGTGGAACAGGGTCACCAGCATTTAGAGATGATAGAAGAAGTAGGATGAATTGTAAGGTTAACAGGGCTGTACTCCCTGGTCCGATTCAATAAAATGCCGCAAAAACAATTACACTGAGCTTAACAGCACAGATGGATAATGGCCCAGAGCATACTATAAAAGCAACCCAAGAGTAAAGGTAAATAAAAGGCATAGTCTTCAATGGACAAGTCAGTCACCTGAACTCCACCCAGCAGAGCACACTTTTCACTTACTGAATGCAGAAAAGCAAATGAGCAGCAACTGAAGGCGGCTGCAGTCGAAGCCTAGCAGAGCATCTCACAGCATTTGGTGATGCCCATGGGTTCTAATCTTTAGGCAGTCACTGAATGCAAAGGATTTGCATCCTGGTGTTAAAAACAATCCTGATATTTAAAATTTTCATACATTTTCCCATTACTTCTGAAAATGTATGAGCCTGTATAAAACATCTGTAATTCCTTAACAGTTCATGCGAAACTGTTGCACTTCAATGTTTTCCTCCCCCAACCTGGATGACCAACCCTCCCCAAGCCTGGTTCTGCCAGAGGCTTCTTCCTGTTGAAAGGGAGATTTTCCTTCCCGCTGTCGCCAGGTGCTTGCTCATAGGAGGTTGTCTGTTTGTTGGAGTTTTCTCTGTATAAAACACTTCGAGGCGGCTGCTGTTGTCAGGTTCTTCTATAAATAAATTTTTTGTTGATTGAATTAAAATCCACTGTGGTGGTGTCCAAAAGCAAAAATACAAAAAATAAAAACGTGTCATTGTCCAAAAACCTATGGACCATAATACAGCTTTAGTTTTTCACCAGAGACACAAAATGTTTCTGATTTACCGTTGAAGCTGCACTTCTCCGCTTTTACCACCAGGGTGCAGTGATGCACTTTTGAGAAAGGACAAAAGTGCCTTGGACTATATTCTTTGTTGTATTGTTAGTTTTTGTTACATATTTTACCTGAGTACACACAACATGGAGCAGATGAAGGCAGAATATATTCTTTATATTGTGCTGTCATAAAGTGGTTAGTAGTCTGTAAAGAGTTGGAGATGAATGTTCAGTGTGTATCTATTTAAGCGGTCTTCAAACGATGAAATGATTGGCCTTCGTTTGTGTTTTAAAAACAAACAAACAAACCTCAAACCCATATTACAATAATAAAGCCTAAAAATCAGTTAATTTATATGCTTTTGATGGCGCCTGAGCCAAGAGCAAAAATCTCCCTCCTAATATGCACATGACTATGAGATTCAGTGCCGGATGGCTGCTTTTATGTTACCTCAGATGGTGGGTCTCTGTGATGAATTATAGACAATAGGTTGAGGGCAGTCAACAGTGCATTTATGACAGATAATAAATGTGCACTGCCAAACCAAGCCAATTGAAGTATGCCGTTCTGGAATGGAAAAAGAAAGAGAAAGGAGTTCATAGGCGAAAATTTTGATATTGTGTCAACACTTTATTATGCACCACCAACATGCAAAATCACTGCTATGAACTTGCTCAAAAATCAAACTAGATATTTCACACATTTATGATTTTAGATTGGCTTGCCACTTTTCCTAAAGTGACTGGGTAAAGTTTGGTGCACACTCAGAAAATACATCGAGTGTGTGTGTGTGTGTATGTGTGTTTGTGTGCAAGTCACAAAGATTTGAGTGACTAGCAAAGGGAACAATGGCAGATTATCTAGGATTTAACCTTAATTCATAAACCACTGATAGTAAATGCAGTTTCTTCAATGCCCTCATGGTTGTAAATCTTTAAGTTTGAGTGATTTGGATCCATTTGTGTCATCTCTTCTTCCACTTTAAACAAACAAACCACTTCCAGACATCAGAACCAGTCATCTATATCTTATATTTAATTGACATTTAATAGACAGCATACATGATTGCAGACCAGTTCCCTCTGCAGACAAACAAACCCTACTAGTATCAGTATTATCATCTCCAGTGAAGACTTCCAGCATTGCTGCAGGTTTTGTTGAAAGCTACATGCTGCACTGACAGGTTGAGCAAACTCCATTGAGTGGTCATCCAATCAGCTAAGGCAGTGTGAGTTATTATTAACACGAATGTATCAAATAAAACAAATGCATCTGATTGGCCAGCTCAAAAAAAAAAATAAAAAAAAATGCCAAAGCAACTCAACAGCAGCTGTAAGAAATATACTAACATTTGTTCATGGTAACCTGGCCAGGGCAACACGTTTACAAAAGATTTCAGCTTTGATCATTTACATCATCATCAGCAGCAGCAGCAGCAGCTCCAACATAATCCCAGGCTCATTATCAAAAATTATAAAGAAGATGACAACAATTTGAATTCAAAGAATCACGGTGTCCACCCTGTGCTAACAGTGCAGTTGTACATTTGCTAAACAACTGATATATAGAAAAAAAAAAAAGAAGAAAAAAAAACCCCCGATAAAAATTAAGAAATAATTTCCCAAAATTGTGTTCTTTCCTTTTTTTGTTTTCTTCCTTATGGCACCTGTGGTATAAGAGACAGCTCAGGAATTAATCTCTTTACATAAGCTCACAGAATTACCTTAAATATGTGCTTGGTTAAAAATATATATCTTTACATAAATGTATTTTATGGTTGGATTTAGCATAACTTAAATTCTTCATGTCCGCAGTGCTCTATACTGTCGGCCAAACGTCGTCTCGTCCAGTGTCTTCAGCTGTTTTTGCTTTTCATATTGCTCGCCTGTGAAGAATAAGGACAACGTTAGAAGGCGTGTGAGTGCGTTATTCAGACAAATCCCAGCTCTGACAAGTGTGCTGGATAAACAAATTGGATTGATGGAAGGATGACTGGCAGTTTGGGTACTCCCATAGTAACATCAATCGCTCGTTTGTGCTTCATCCGTCTGCCATGTGGGCAAACGATTCATACATTTCATGTTAGAGATCAACTTAAACGTCTTAAAATAAGCCTGATACAACATCTGCTCTTCACTACATGACTGGTGAAACGAATATATAGCAACATCTGTAGAAAAGTAGAAAGAAAAAAGAACTTCAGACCAGCTCTTTATCGAAGGGACAAAGTTTTGCTCCCTAAATCATGCACACAGTTTTCAAACTAAGGTGGATTTATTTAAATTTTACTGGAGTAAAAGCACAATATCATTGTAATCTGCTGCTTTAAGAACTTTACATAGATGGAGAGAGGTTTGGGCCCCAAGTCTACATTTGGGACTCTCACAGTGTGTGAATGTGAGATTTAATGAATAGTGGAATTGTAACGCGCTTTGAGGGTCTTGAAAAGCACTATATAAATGCAATCCATTATTACTATTATTTAAGTTATAATGCTTATTTAACAGCTTGCTATGAAGCTGAAACGGTTCTTCAAGCAATCAGATGTCCATCTAAATCCAACTTGGCTAAACAGGAAAATGCTGTTCTTATTTTTGAGATGCAAATTACTGAGGTTTTGACACTTCATATCGATTTTAACTATTTCCCACCAAAATTGTTTTAAAGCGTTTATTCTGAAAACTGGGAGACAAAACCAGAAATGCACATTTTTGTCAGTTTAGCTTAAAATACAGCAAAGTCAGCGTGCTCAGAAGAGTTTGAGGCAATTGTTGAAATTGTTCCTGATGTGGTGGGGAAAAAAGTGCATCTTCAGTCACCGAGCATGTTATTCACAAGCTCAGCATGATTCTCTGCTCTGCGATTGCCAAAAAAAACCTCCTGGACAACCTGCTTCATGGATTTCAGGATTGACAGAAACACCTTTTTTAAATGTTGCCTTCACTTTTCTGTACATCAAACTTATTTCTTAAATGCTGAAACTCACGTCCAGTTAGTCTAGCTGTCCAGTACTTGGATGATAATAAATTAAAAAGGTAACAAAGAAACAAGGGGGAAAAAAAACAGAAAAAGTAAAATGGTAAGATTGTAACTAAAAGATATCATAAAACATCCAAGTCCAGGCACTTAAGGTCAGCTTGGAAAAGTAATAAAATGCCTTTATTTTACTGGTAGGCATTTTCAGATAAAAAATTTTTTTTACCAGTGTATACTGGCTTGTGCCTTTTTTAGGGCTTAGAGATACAAAGATATCAACAGAGCAAGCCTCAGACACCACAGCTGTGCAGCACCAAGTACTTGCATCATTTTCTTTTGCCTCTAGGGGCAATGGTAAGCCCTTAAGGACATCACCCAAGAAGTACACAGTTCTCTGACAGGCTATTGCACACCTACTTTATGTAGGTATGCAGTTTGTTGTTGAATTATCCTGTGGCCAAACACTGCACTGAAGAACATCATGGAAGTAATTCAACCCTGAGAGTGTCAGGTATTCAAACTGTTACTCTTGATTGGGTGATGATAAAATCAAAGGTCTCAAAGAGAGACAGTTAATTTCCCCCAGAGGCCACATGAGAAACTGAGACTGTTGTGGAGGGCCACACCAACAATACAGAGACAGCATTAATATTGAACAGAACTGACTTCAGCCTATTGGGGTGAACCTGCACAACAGTCTCAGTTTCTCATGTGGCCCCTGGGGGAAATTACCTGTCCACTGCTGCCCTAAGCCCATCAGTTACCCTAGTCTCACTTAGACTTCTCATATTTTTATAGGCATTATTATGGTTATAAATTATGGTTATGGACCAGAATTAACCCGTGATGTTGTTGTTAATCACCAACGACACTGTAGATTTCCTTTTGCAGTGGCTTCAGTGCATTTTTTCCCTTTTGTTGCATATTTTATTATAAATTTGAATTTATTGTACCCATAACATCTTTGGTTAGCCTATCACAGAGCCTTGTGCACCCTTACATTGCTATGATGATGTGCACTAAAAACTAGAGATCAAAAACATTAAATAAAAAAAAAAATCTACAGCTGACAGGTAGAACTTACCAGTCACCCGGACCTACGTGGTCACTGCTGCAGAGTCACCTGCGCCACATAATTAAAACCAGCACAGCAGGTCAGAGCAGGTACTGACAAGGGGCAATTTAATAATTCAGAACGCACAATATGCCACCTTC